AGGCCCAGGCCAAGGCCAAGACCTAGGTCCAGGCCCAGGCCAAGGCCAAGACCCAGGACCAGGCATGAGGGCCTGAGGTTGACCTGGCGCCTGGACACTGCTGAGTAGATCTGCCTGGGCAGGCGGCCAGCCAGTCGGCCAGGCAGTCTGCTGCAGGCCGGGGCCTTGGACGGGCCATGAGACGTGGGAAGGCAACCCGGGCTCCTCCTGGGCCAGGGCAGCCTGTGGAGGCTGGTCTGTGGTCTGCCACTGTTTGGACATCTCCAGCTCTTGTGAAGTGGCTTCCTGTGAAAGAGGAGGCTGAAGAGGTGGGCCCATGCCCCCCTCCCCTCCCCCATTGCCCCTCCTGTTCCTCTACTCACTGGAGTGAACATGGCCTCATGGAGGCCACTCCAGAGCACCAGATCCTCAGCTTTGGGGAGAGCGTGAATCCTGTTCTTGAGAGAATCCTGTGGAGTGGGGTGGGCAGTGCAGGCGTGAGCTGGGGGTGCGTGGCCCTCGGGGGGTCTCACTACCCACACAGAACCAGACCGCCCTCCAGTGGCTCACCAACCACAGTGCCCTCTTCATTTACAGAGAAACCTCCCCACCCTGCCCTGCCCCCTGCCCGAGGGAGGAAGGACAGGACCCTGGCCCTCACCACTTCATGCTGCAGTGTGCTCATCTTCTGGTTCTGCGTTTTCAAGTCCTCAGATAAGAGGTCCACTTTTTCTGGGCATATCTGTCAAATGAGCTGAGTCTGTGGTCTGGAAGACAGGTTCTGATCCCCGTCCTGTTGTTTCCCACAGTGCTAGAGGACCAAGAGCCTGAGAAGGGTGAAGAGTTTCCCAGGGAAGGAAAAGGGATGCCAAAGAGTCTACAGACAAATAAGTCTAGGAAACAACGGGCTAAAAAGCATTCAACAGACTTCTGTACCACAGAACTTATCAGAGCCTTGAATGGGCAAAAGCACATTAAGAATCTCCCAGAGGCAGGGCACAGTGGTGCACACCTATGTCCCGGCAGCTCAGGAGGCTGAGACTGGAGAATCATGAGTTCAAAGCCAGCTTCAGCAACTTAGCAAGGCCATAAATGAGGCCCTGTCTCAAATGAAAAATCAAAAATGGGCTGAGGGGGCTGGGACTGTGGCTCAGCGGTAGAGCGCTCGCTTAATACGGGCGGGACCCGGGTTCAATCCTCAGCACCATATAAAAAAAATAAAAGGCATTGTGTTGTGTCTACCTACACCTAAAAAACAAATATTAAAAAAAAAATGGGCTGCGGATGTGGCTCAGTGGTTAAGTGTTCCTGGGTTCAATCCTCAATACGAAAAAAAAAAAGTGGGCCAGGAAGACATCGTTTCTCAAGCAGATTGGTCCCAGGATCCTCTTTAGTGTTTCATAGCATTGCTTCCTGACACTGCCCATCTACTCAAATGGAATCTACCCAGTCTAAGATGGAAGTTCAAGTGCACCCAGTGACCTATGAAACAGAGGCAACACATTAGTCAGGTAATTTGGAGCAGGTGGTCTAACCTTGGCCACAGTGCTGGCCTGGAGGTTTGCAAACCCAGCTTCTGACCCCACTGTGGACTAGGGAAAGCTGTCTCAGGCTTTAGGGATTCCATGTCTTTCCATGTCATGGTAGAGTCTAGAACAGACTTGGACAAATGGCTCAGAGATGCAGAAGAAGTCAGTATGTGTGCCTGCACTAGCTTTATCCTGCTTCTCAGTATGAACAGAGCTTTCAACAGGAGGAAAAGGTGTTCTCTTTCTGTCGAGTTGAGGGACTATAAGCCTGGAGTTTCTAAGAATCGGGGAGTAGCTGCCTGAACATGAAGCCAACACAGAGGAAGTCATCACCGAGAGGCAGACGCTGAGGGGGCTGAGGGCCTCCATCTGGCTGTGGCTGGAGGTGCCCCTGGACTTTTTAGTAAATGAGAATGAATTCTATTACTTTTCCCAAGTCGGGATGAACTGGGTGTCTGACAACGGACATCCTAACACAGTGGAATAAGGGGCACTAAGGGGTCACAGGGAGCTCGGGAGGGAGGCCGAGGGCTGGGCCAGGAGGGTTCCCTTCTTCTCCCCTCTTGGCTGCATTCTTTGACCAAGAACAGGCTTTCTAGGCCTGGACCACCAGATGTCCACCAGCACGGCCAGTGTGGAGGATGCAGGGGAGGAATTACCTTTTCAAAACAATCCTTCATCATGTTCACGTCCTTCCCAAGGGTTTCAACGGTGACCTTGAGTGGGTTCAGGTCAGTGAGCAGATCCTGCAGGGTCACCATGGACTGAAGAGGGAGAGAAGAGGGGGAGACCCTGAAGTTGGGTGTGGTTATAGCAGAAGGCAAACGAAGTACAGAGCTTTCTGGTGACGGCATAGTCCTGGGGGTCATCTTGGCTCTCCCACAGCCTAGGCTGAAAGTACCCAGAGACCAGCAAGTGCTCCCCAAGACAACAGGGCTGCAAGCCCCAGGCAGACTGGGCGGGAAAGAGGTGTCTCCGAGTTACCCAAAACATCTGCTGCCCTTCCCTGTTTGGTACGTGCTACGGAAGGAGGAAGCAGGCTGGTCCCTAGGGGATAGCACCTGGAGGATCAGAGTCAGGGGAGAAATGACCATGTTTATTTATTTATTTATTTATTTTCTTTAGAAGTTAGGATTGAACCCAGGGGCATTATATCACAGAGGCACATCCCCAGCACTTTATGCTTTTAATTTTGAGACAGGGTCTCACCAAGTTGCTTAGGCTCTTGCTAAATTGCTGAGGCTGGCTTTGAACTTGAGATACTCCTGCCTCAGACTCCCAAATTGCTGGGAATCACAGGACATCACAACCACACCTGGCCTGGATTTACATTTTAAAAAGATCTCTCTGGCTGCCTGTGGAGATGGGCTCTGGAGGGTAAATGGGACACCAGAGGACCAGCAATGAGACTTCCAGGCTAAACTGATGGTTGCAAGGTAAGGCTCAAAGCTCGCTGCACAGTTGACTGGGGCTGCCACCACCTCTTTGTAGGTTTCAGATTTCTCAAGCGTTAGGATATGGGAGAAAAAGTGATAAGTTGAACAAAGAACTTTGTGCCTAGCTAGGCATTCAGTTAACAAATGGTACAATGACAGAAGCCAGTCCTGATGGATAATTACATTAAGTATCAATGTTTTAAATGTTCGGTTAAAAGGTAGAGACTGGAAGAATGGATTAAAAAAATGTAGTCCTAGCTGGGTGCAGTGGCACATGCCTGTAATCCCAGCAGCTCAGGAGGCTGAGGCAGCAGGATCTCGAGTTCAAAGCCAGCCTCAGCAACTTAGTGAGACCCTATCTCAAAATAAAAGAAAATAATAGCTGGGGATGCATCTCAGTGGTAGATTTGCCCTGTGTTAAATCCCCAGTACCACCAAAACAGGAGGAGGAGGAGGAAAAAAAGGCTGAAAGAGAAATAGGCAATTTTAAAAAGCACAGTTGGCAGCTATCATACCGTATTTCTATTGTAGAATAGAACTAGACCGAAGATCAACAAGGAAACAGAAAACCTGAACAACACTAAACCATGCGGGCACCAACAGTGTCCACAGAACACCCTGACAATGGCAGAACACACACGAAGAGCACTCTGCCGGGTAGATCTCACGGCAGGAACGTTTTAGAACCCGTGTTTGTGCTGACCATAGTGGAATTCAACTAGAAGTCAACAGAAGAAACGTGTGTGAGAATTAACTCTCCTAAATCACAAATGGGTCCAAGAAGCCACAGACAAAATTAGGAAATACTCCGAGACAAACTGAAAACAGAGCACGGCACACCAAAGCTCACGGGCTGAAGCTGAAGCGGTGCATAGAGAGAAACGCATAGTGGTCAGTGGCCACACCGCAGAGGAAGACTTCCCATCAACAGCCTCACTTTCCACTGGAAGAAAGAAGGCAAACTAAACCTAAGCAAACAGAAGTAAGAAAATCACGGAAAGTACAGCGCAAGAGAAAAATCAACAAAACTGACAAACCGTTGAGCTCGATGGACCAAGAAAAAGACAGACTCAAATTACTAGAATCATAAGTTAAAGAGGAGACCTTTCTATTGACTCTACTGAAATAAAAATGGACAAGTTCCTAGGAAGACACAAACTACCAAAATAAACTTAGAAAGAAATTGAAAATGTGAATGGACCTGTAACAAATGATGAGACTGAAGCAGTATTAAAAAGTAAATACCCATCAAAGTCCAGACCCACATGGCCTTACCGCTGACTCCCACAAAACACTTAAGAGGGGGCTGGGGTTGTGGCTCGGTGGTAGAGCACGCCCGCCCAGCATGTGCGAGGCCCTGGGTCCTCCGCACCACATAAAAATAAATAAATAAATAAATAAATAAATAAATAAATAAATAAAATGTGTCCAACTACAAAAAAAAAAAGAAAAAATATTTTTAAAAACTCTTAAAGAATTAATGCCAACCCTTCATAAACTCTTACAAAAAAAAAACAGAAGGGGAAGGAACACTTCCAAACTGATTCAATGAAGCCAGCATTATACTGATACCAAATGCAAAGACAAAAGAAGAAAAGAAAACTGAAATATAAACACAAAGTTCTCAAGAAAACACTAGCAAACTGGATCTGGCAACATATAAAAAGAATTCTATACCATGGCCATGGGGTGGATTAACCCCAGAGATTCAATTAATTCAACATCCAAAAATGAATTAACGTAATATATCACATCAATAAGAAATATGTTATCAACTTTATTTATTTATTTATTTTGGTACTGGGGTTTGAACTCAGGGGCACTAGACCACTGAGCCACATCCCCAGCCCTATTTTGTATTGTATTTAGAGACAGGGTCTCACTGAGTTGCTTAGTGCCTCGCTGTTGCTGAGGCTGGCTTTGAACCCACAATCCTCCTGTCTCAGCCTTCCATTTTAAAAATATACAATCATCTCAATTGACACAGAAAAAGCATTTGATAAAATACATTCTTACATGAAAAAAAAATTCAGTAAACTGGGCGTGGTGATGCATGCCTGTAATTCTAGCAACTCAGGAGGCTGATGGAGAAGGATTGCAAGTTGGAGGCCAGCTCTGGCAACTTAGCAAGACCCTGTATCAAATAACAAAAGGGCTGGGATGTAGCTCAGTGATGAAGTGCCCCTAGGTTCTATCTCCAAAGAAAACAGAACAACAACAACAAAACAATACTCAGTAAATCAGGACACTTCCTCCACTGGATAAGGGACATTTACAAAAGACCTCGAGTTAGAGCTCAGGGCTCAGCAGCAGAGCACTTGCCTCGAGTGCTCAACGCCCCAGGTTCATGTCTGCTATGAAGGAGAAGAAAAAAGAAAGGGGAAGAGAAAGACAGTGTGGTACGGGCACAAGCAGATCAATGGAGTAAAACTGAGAAGCCCAGAAATAAACCCACCCAGCTACAGTCAGCCGATTTCCAACAAAGGCATCAAGATTGATCCAGTAGGGAGAAAAGAATCATCTGTTGAACACATGGCACCAAGACAAAGTAGCTGTCACCATGGCCTGTGGCTGTGGTCCCAGGTATCTGGGAGGCTAAGCCAGGAGGACTGCTTAAGACCAGGTGTTCCTGGTCAGCCCAGGCCACTACTGTTCATAGCAGGGCTATGTGTAGTGAACTAATGAACCCCAACGTCCATTAATCAGTCAGCTAAATGTGGCATGACTCATACAGCAGAATATCATTTGATAAAAAGAAATAATAATGTGCTGATGGATGAACCTGGAAAACAATAAGGTACAGTGAAGGATTGGGAACTCAAGCAGGCACAAGAGGCGTCACTACTGTGGATTGAGGGGTTCCTTTCTGGGTATTGAAAAATGTCCTAAAATTAGACTGTGGTGACAGTGGCACGGCTCTGTCAATACCCTTAAAAATGCATGAATTTTTTGGTAAAATGAAATACCTCAATAAAGCTGTAAAAACTGCATTTGTGTTTCAGAAACGATGGGAGGAAATCTCAACACTGTCTACGTAGAGTCAGGAGTCACTGCTAATTTTGTTGGGAGTGACAGTGGAATTATGGGATGGGTTTCACAAATTCTCATTTGCTTAAGGTGGAAAATGTTTCTTAGAGAGACCTCCAATGTGGAGACTATGGGTCAGCAGCCTTCCTTCCCTGCTCCTCTCCCATGGTAGCTGTGGGCAGCCCGGAAATGGCCAATCAGAAGCTGACCTGGCAACAGACTCCATCAACCAGTTTCCTGCCGGCAGAAGCAATCGCCCTGTCAATTCATCTCAGCCTGGACCAACCAAGGACAGATGCCCCTAAACTCGGCTCAGCCGGCGGCTGCTGTCGGTGGTGACAATTCAGATGGCCTAGGCCCTCCTACCTCCAGCTGCCCTTAGAAGCATTGTGCTCGCCCGGACTTCCCTGGCCCTCACCCTTTGGCAGACCGGTGAGCCTCGCCCTGGGAGCGCCCCCCAGTAAACTTCTTTGGGTGCCTTATTCTTTTCTTTTTTTAATATTTATTTTTTAGTTGCAGTTGGACACGATACCCTTTATATGTGGTGCTGTGGATGGAACCCAGGGCCTCGCACGTGCTAGGTGAGCGCTCTGTCACTGAGCCACAACCCCAGCCCCTGGTGCCTCATCCTGTTCCGTGGTTCCTGGTCTCGCACACCTTATCTGCTTTCTAGAGACCTTCACAGATCTACTGATGCTTCCTCTATCCTCCTATCTTCCTGCGGGTGACCAGGAGCCAAATATGCTGAGCAGAAATTACCCTCAACCCAGCCCAGATAAGTGCCGGGCAAGGCCCAGAAGAAATGGCAGAACCCTGTGGCTTGCCCTGTGGGAAGGTCACCCATGAAAGGAGAAAGGCTCTCTCCTTCACGTGGCTCTGTTCTCCTGTGATGTGCACACCCAGCCCAGACTGTAGCATGGGGACATGCCTTGGACTCCTGTTTTAGGGAACAAGGCACCAGAAGAACCCTTGGGGGGAGGGTCAGGTCTTTTTTCTGACCAGAGCCCTCTAGGCACAGTTAGGGCTTCACTGGAGCTGAGAAAACTGACTTCCCAGGAGCTGAACTGTGGCATGTCCCACATGGCGCCTGGCGTGGCACTGCCGCCTAGGCTTATCCGAACATGTTCCCATCCCCCCAACTTGCCAGGCACAGTGGCCTATGCCTATAATCCCAGCAACTTGGGAGGCTGAGGCAGGAGGACTGGGAATTCAAAGCCAGCCTCAGCCATTTAGCAAGTCCCTAAGCAACTTAGTGAGTCTCTCAGTTGTCTCAAAATAAAATATAAAAATATAAAGAAGGCTGGGGATGTGATTCAGTGGCTAAGTACCCCTGGGTTCAATCCCAGGTTAAAAAAATAAATGCAGAGAGAAGTCTTCCGAAAGAAGAATAATATCCAGAATATATAAAGAACTCAAAAATTTTAACACCAAAAACCCAGTGGGGGGCTGGGGCTGTGGGTCAGTGGTAGAGCACTTGCCTAGCATGTGTGAGGCACTGGGTTCCATTCCCAGCACTGCATATAAATCAACAAAATGAAGTCCACTCACAATTAAAAAAAAAAAAAAAAAACACCCAATGGGCAAATGAACAGCCATTTCTCAAAAGAAAAGATACCAAAGGCCAACCAACAAAAATATGAAAAAATGTTCAACACTGTTAGCAATTAGGAAAATGCAAATCCAAATTACTGAGGTTTCATCTCACACCAGTCAGAATGGCAGTCATCAAGAATACAAATAATGATAAATGCTGGAGAGGATGTGGAGGAAAAGGAACACTTTTACGCTGTTGGTGGGACTGTAAATTAGTATAACCACTATGGAAATCCATACGGAAGCTCCTCAAAGGACTAGGCATGGAGTGGGGCTGGGGATATGGCTCAGTGGTAGGGCACTTGCCTAACATGCTCCAAGTCCTGGGTTCAGTCCCCAGCACTGCAAAAAAAAAAAAAAAAAAAAAAAAAGACTAGGCATGGAACTACCATAGGACTCAGCTATACCATTCCTCAGTTTTATCCTAAAGAATTAAAGTCATACTACAGTGATACATGCATACCCAAGTTTATAGCAGCACAATTAACAATAGCCAATCTATGGAACCCAACTTGGTAATTGTCAGTAGATAAATAGATTAAAAAATGTGTTATATATACATAATGGAGTTTTATTCAGCTATAAATAAAAATAAAATTGTCATTTGCAGGAAAATGGGTGGAACCGGAGAACATTATATTAAATGAAATAAGTCTAACTCAGAAGGTCAAAGGTAGTGACGCTAGAGAGGAACAAGGAAAAGAAAGGTGGGGGTGGGGGTGGGGGTGGGGGTGGGGGAATCTCGTGAACATCAAAGGGACATCAGTAGAGAAAAGGGACCACACAGAGGGAAATGGGAGGGAAAAGGGAAATACTGGGGAATAATATTGGCCAAATTAAATTGTTATATTGTGTGCAAGTACCAATATGTAACAACAAATCCCACAATTATGTAAACTATAATGCACCAATATAAAACACGGGAAGAGGGGCTGGGGGTTTAGCTTAGTGGTAAAGTGCCCCTGGGTTCAATCTCTAGTATTCCCCCACCACCAAAAAAAAAAAGAATGCTGGCTCAGGCTAGGGCCCAATAAGGGGGTCCAAAGCAAACACCACCTCAGACAACCACATCCAGAGCTGTGGAAAATGGGAATGCTAACGTCACCTCCCGGGGAAACTTTCCTTTTCATTACTGGGGACTGAAGCCAGGGCCTCACACATGCTCGGTAAGTGTCCTACCACTGAGCTGCAGCCCAGCGCCTCCACGGCACCTTGGGAAGGTTTTGCCGTTGCTCAAGTGTTCATCACTGTTATGGTTTGGGTGTGAGGTTTCCCCCTAAAGCTCTTGTGTCTCTGCAGGAATAGTCAGAGGTGAGGAGACTGAATTATGAGAGCTGTAATCTAGCCAGTCCGTCCTAGTGTGAATGAACTGACTGGGTGGTAACTGCAGGCAGGTGGAGCGCGGCTGGAGGCAGTGGTCACCGGGGCCTTGCCCTGGAAGGGTGCACTGGCCTGAGACTCCTTCCACTTTCTCTGCTTCCTTGCTGCCATTAGGGAGCAGCTTCCCTCTGCCATGCTCTCCCGCTATGATGTCCCGCCTCACCTGGGGCCCAGAGTAATGGAGCTGACCATCCATGGAGTTAGACCTCTGAAACTGTGAACCAAAATATACATTTCCTCCTCCATGTTGTTATTTTGGTCACAGCCATGACTAAAGCAATTATTATTAGACCCTGATTGGCTAAAACCCCAACATGTCTTCAACACATTTAGGCAACAGTATAAAATACCCCAAAACCAACTGAAACGAAAATGCATTTCAATCTGGGTGACACACTGCAGGTGTTCTGGTTGTTGCAAAACAGAACAAGGAGTTCTGAAATAAACAAGCAACAACATGTTGGACCCACAACTTTATGAAAGCAGCATTATACAGAACAGTCTTAATAATAGCTCACAGCATCCTTCATCTTCCCCTGTGGCTGGCCACCAGGGATTATCATTACAGATGGGAAAACCAAGGCCTCAACCAGGTGGGCCGGGGAGGGTCAGGCTGCTTGTCTACCACATGTAGAAACCCAGTCAGGGAGGAACCTGGGAACCTGCAGTTCTGGAAAGGCTCACTAGGGGGAGCTAGTGCACAGCCACCAAGGGGCAAGCTGGGTTTCCCCTGCAACCAGCTGGAGGTTAGGACAACCAGGCTGAGCTGGGAGCCTCCAGTATTGTTGTTGATTTTTTTTTTGGGGGGGGGGCTTTTTTTTTTTGGTTGAACCCAGGGTGCTCCACCACTGAGTCATATACCCAACCCTTGTTATTCTTTCCTTTGAGACAGGGTCTCACTAAGTAGCCCAGGCTGGCTTGAACTCACAGTTCTCCTACCTCAGGCTCCTGAGTTACTGGGTTATTGACACCACCACTCTGCCAGGCTGGGGAGCCCAGGCTTTCTAATCCAGAAGTCTCAAATGGGGCAGTAGCATCTGGCAATGTCTGGAGGACAGACTTTGGCTTGTCACAACACGGGGTGCTGCTGGTGTCACTGGGCAGAGGCCAGGGGTGCTGCCTGACCTTCTACAATACACAGAACACAAGCCATAGGAATTACTCAGCCCAAGTGTCAATAGTGCTGAGAAGCCTTGCAATCTAACCCTTAATAACAACTTGCAGTGGGGCACAAGTCCTCAAATCTGGTGGTGTGTTGACCAACAGAGCCAGTCCCTGGACCATGCCTATGGATCCCAGTCCGCTTGCTGCCAAGAGGCCTTCCCCCCTCCTGGTGTCTGCCCTTGTTTCCCAAGCACTATGTGCTCTGTTTGGGGTGGGTGCTGAGACCAGCAGGCTCTGATTCTCCATTTTTGGCCTGTGCCTCTTGGGGGTGCCCAGTAAGGGCAGCAGAGGACACTGGCACAATCAGCCCAGAGCAAGGGGCTGCCAAGGTACAGTCCAGGTGGCCCATGGCATCAACACAGCGTTTGGTTTGCCAGCCTCAATGGCTGATGGGTACAGACACTTAGCTAAGCAGCTTGCTCTAGAACCAGCTACCATGGCAACCCCCTTCAATGGGTCGCTGTGGTAAGCCATTGCAATGACTTTCCAACGGCAGGGACATTCCTTATCTGTACAAACAGGCCTCTAAGGGCTGCATGGTCAAGTCCAAACCTGTTCACGAGCCCTTTCATGAGCTGAGCAGGTGACCCTGTTCAGTGCTCAGGACATTCAAGAGCTCTAGAAGTCACTACTTTGCCCAGGTTCGTCTTGAACTTATTGGCTCACCCCACCAGCCCTGCATCGGCCTTCGGAGTGCTGGGACTCCATGCGTGTGTACTGCTCCTGGCTAGCACTGGTGTCTAAGCCCAAGTGCCTGCTGTGGCTCAGCCTTACCAGCTCTGCTCCATTCCTGTTGGTGTGGGATATCTGCTTCCATAAAACTTCAACCTCTGGTGTCTCCAAATTGAGAGCTCATCTCTTATAGACAGCATTTAGTTAGGTCATGGGGTTTTTTAAATGAATTCTGCCAACCTGCTTTTCATGTGGTAAAAAACACATAACAATATTAAAGAGTGTGATCCCGGGGCACTTGATACAGACAGAAGTATGACTGTCACCGCTCCTTACTTCCAAGACATTTTGTTCCCCTGAAAGAAAATCCTGTCTCCATTAGCAAACCACTCCCTCTCTCCTTTCCAACAGCCCTCATCCCATTTCTGCCTGCGGACATGCCCCTCCTGGCCATTTCATGTAATTGGAATCACGAGGTTCGGGGCCTCTGTGCTGGCTCCCTCCCTCCATTCAGCACAAGGCTTGTGGCTCCCCCTGCACCGCTCTGCCCCTCTTGCCTGACAGGGCCCAGGCTTGGCCAGACTGAGTCCTCCTCCCTCCCACAAACCCAGAGCTCAGGTCCTCAGATCCTGCGGGGCCCTGGGCTGGCTGACTCGCTGAGACTTCAGTCCACCTCTTTCCCTGCTCAAGTCAAATCTCAATAAACGGACTGGGCACCTAAAATATGTTGAGCTCCGTGCTAAGCACTTCCTGGGCACTCTCATCCAGTGTGAATTCTTGCTACAACCTGGGAGGAAACCATTATCGACTATTGCTGACTATGACCAACCCCACCCTTTCCGGCTGGCAAGAGGCTGTGTGCCTGCTGCTCACAAACCCACAGGGCCCAGGTTTCTACCGGCTTCTCCGTTTTGTAACACTGACCTCAAGTAGGTTACAAAACCCCTCGGTGCCACTGTCTTCTCACCTGAAAACTAGACTACCTGCCTCCTGAAGTTACTACAACACTTAAGGACCTCTCAGATGCACAGTATTTAGTCCATCTGGCACTTGGTAATTGCCTCACGAAGTTACGAGACCCTCCACCCACCAAGCAGCCACGCCCACCCCACCAGCCCTGGAAGCTGGCCTATTCTGGATATTCTGTATAAATGGAACAATACAGCATGTGTCTGTTTGTGTCCGGCTCCTTTCCTCAGTACTTGACAAGTTTGCAATCTTGGGAGTTTTGATTCTGCCAGGCTCCAAGGTCTGGCTCTACCCTCCCTCTGTAAAGGGATGCCCACCATGAAGGAACAGGGAGCGGCATGCTTGGGAGGAGCGCTCAGGGGCTGAGAGGCTTCTACAGCTGGGCTTTTACCTTGGCCATGGCTTCTTCATTGCCCTCCACCATCTTTCGGAGCTTGATGAGATGCCACAGGTCCTCGGCAGGCCGTTTGGTCCCCTGGCTGCCCTCCAGCAGCTGGGCAGTGGAGGGCAGGTCCTGCAACCCAGCCAGTTGATTCTCGATCCTGTCGAGGCGGGTCACCACACCGTCAAAGACGTTGCTGAGTCGCTTCATAGGGTTGACTACAGGCTGGGAATCTCCTTCCCCAGGCACAAGCACCACCTGCGAGGTCTGGAGGAAGTCCTCATCCCCCGAGAGTTCCTTCTTGAGCTCAGCCATTTGAATGTGCTCCAGAATGCCCTTGATCAGGAGGTGCAGGGCCCTGAAATTCACCACCCCACACTGTGGTATGGCAATGTTGGTCAGTTCCATGAATGTGAGTGAGAAGCTCATCTTGCTGGGCTGGGTTGGTGCGGCTAGGCTTCTTGGAATCCTTGGGGACAAGTGGTGGCTTCCTGTGGTCAAAGAGCTGCACAAGCAGGTCTTCAGAGGCTCGGAAGGCAGAGAGTCACAGTGGTCAGGGAAGAATGGCCTCTGTCCTGGCCAGAGATCAGATCTGATTTTCTGGTTGCTAGGACACCAGAGAACATGGTCAAGTGGGCATGCTTCCGAGAGCCAGGAGCAGGTGGTGCTCCTGGGTGAGCCACGCCCAAATAGGAACTTCATTAATATTTAATGACTACCTGAATAGTGAACAGGCAGCCCTTCATTCCAGCCCTCGGCTTGTGTAAGGCTGATGACCCTTTCCAAGAGGTATGCAGGGGAGTGAGGGAACATGCATCTCAGAAGTCTCTAGAATCAGAAGACAGATTTCTTGGAGTCAGGAAGACCTAGGTTTTAAGAAAAGAGGACATAGAGAGAAGAGTCTGAAGAACTAAGCTGGTTCCTTGGCAGGGCCAAACGCACACCTAGCTGCTCCAGTTTCTGGAAGGGGAGAGCAGGGAGGTGAGTGGGCGTCATTTGGTCTGTCCTGCATGTCCCTGTCTTCCTGGATGATATCGCCCTTGCTGAACCCTGCTCTGCTCCCCACATGAGCTGGGGCTCAGTAAGACCCCAGTTCTAATCAGGGTCTCAGTCCTGCTCTGAGTCTGAAGGCATGGCCAGGAGCCAGTGGCTGCAGGGTGAGGAGGCTTTGTGGGGTCCTGTGACTGTCAGGCTCTGCTGGGTCAGTTCTGGGTCCCAACAGCAGTCTGCTTGTCCCCGTCTTCTAGTGAAGCCTGCAGGGAAGTTCCTCCATTCAGTGCCACCCTGAATCTCACATTCCTGGTGCACAGCATGCAAGATGGCCTGCTCAGGATTCCCACTGGCTAAGGACCAACCTCGCTGGCTTCCCTGAAGGAACTCTGGAAAGCAGAGTTTGACTTCCTCAGACACTCCCCAAACCACCTACCATGGACCTGATCTAACAGCTAGATTAGTCAGTGTTCTCCAGAGACAGAACCAACATCATACACTCTCACAGACACGTGAGAAGGGACGTGTCGGGGGAATTGTCATTAAGGAGGTTGAGAAGCCCCACTGCAGGGCATAGACACACTAGAGACCCTGGGATGTGGTGAGCATGGCTCAGGCTAGGTCCCAAGGCCTCAGAACCAGGGAAACCAATGGTGTAACTCTCAGTACAAGGCCAAAGGCCCGAGGTGGGGGTGTCACACAGGAGTAAGTCCTCTCTCCTGCCTTTGGGCTCCAGGATGTGCTTGTGTCCAAGGTCAGGAAGGGAAGAATGTGACCAGTGTCTAAGTTACACAAATGGATACTTGGTCTTTTTCCTATATTTTTGTTCTCTGTGGGTCCTGGCAGGTTGGATGGTGCTCACCCGCATCAATGGCAGGTCTCCCCCACCTACCTGGCTCAGGCTCACCCACCAATCTCTGGAAGCATCCTCAGAGATAATGTCTTTTTCTAGCTATTCCTGAATTTATTCAGCCAAGTTGTCCCCTAAAACTGACCATCATATGCCCTCTTATTAACACCTCTAGGATCCCCACTGTGTTATAGGACCTAAAAATTCAAGGGGCTGGGGCTCAGTGGTACAGTGCTCACCTAGCATGCACGAAGCCCTGGGTTCGATCCTCAGCACCACATAAATGTAAAATAAAGAGATTGTGTCCACCTAAAACTTAAGAATAATATTTTTTAAAAAAAATTCAGGGCTGGTGGATGCTATGGCCTAAACATGGAGGACTGAGGAACTTCCGGATAAGGGGGCTTAAACATGGACATGCACCTGAGGAACTTCCGGATCCTGGGGCTTAAACATGGACACCTGAGGCACTTCCGGATCCTAGAGCCTAACATGGATGCCTGAGGAACTTCCGGAGCGGGGTGGGGGGGTGAGGGGGGGCGCCTTACATGGACGTGAACCCAATGAACTTCCTGATTCTAGGGCTTAAACATAGACGTGCGCCTGAGGAACTTCTGGATGTGGGGGCCTAAACATGGACGCCTGAGGAACTTCCGGTCCTAGAGCCTAAACATGGACGTGCATCTGAGGCACTTCCGGATGCTTTGACCTAAACATGGATGTGTGCCCAAGGAACTTCCGGATCCGGGTGCCTAAACATGGACGTGTACCTTTGGAACCTCCGGATCCAGGGCCCTAAACATGGATATCTGAGGAACTTCCGGATCCGGGGGCCTAAACATGGACACTTTAGACACTTCCGGATCCGAGGGCCTAAACATGGACATGTCTCTGGAACTTCTGGGTCCTTGTGCCTATAAAGGGCAGGGCGTGACTCTCAGAAGGGATGTGGTCCACGAAGAGGAGTGGAGTATGGGGCCTGTTGGGGGGCAGACTAAGCTGTCGCACCCTGAACTTGAATGTGATGGTGGCCTCACTTCCCTGCCTTCCCCTGGATGTCACTTCCTCCCCTTCCAGGAGGTGCCGGGGAAGAAGTGAGACGAGGCACAGGGGCCAGGCCCTGAGGAGGGACACAGTTTTTCTCCTCACTTAGCCAGGCGCCCGGCCTGGCTGGGGACAAGGACGTCTTGTGACACTGGCTGCCTCCTGCATCCCTGCCCCAGGACCTCAGGGACCACAGGTGGGGACAGTCGTTGATTCTCCCCTGGCCACTGACCCTCAGTCCCGGGGTCTGCCCAGGGAGAGTTCTGTCTCCCAGAGGGTCAAGGGGCCCCTGTGACCTGCTGCTCCTTACCCATCATCATCCTGGGTGAGCACAGTTCACAACACCAGACGCTACTGAGAGTGACATCTTCTAGATGGGCGGCTGGGGACTTTGCCTCTGTCCCAAGGCCTCAGACATTGGATGATCCCCCCCAGAGACAGAAAATAACCCCACATTGCCCAAGACTTATTTTTAAGCTTTGGATTCTGAAATTTTCCTGCTGCCACCTTCTTTGTGAAGTCAGTTTTTTAACAGAAACGGTATTCGGGGTGGGGGTGGGGGACAACAACATGGAGTTAATCAAACCAAGCTGACACATCTGGTCCTCCAAGAAAAATCTGGATGGGAGGGAGAACAGCCATTCTCAACTGGTGAAATAGTGAAGTTCCCTTGTCCTTTTTTTGTGTAAGAAAAATAAATAATGTGATGTTAACTCATCAAATGATTTTGGATGAGTGCTTGGCTCATAGGAAAACTGATTCTGTTTTATGGAATGAAGTGTTACCTGATTTTAAAATTAAAAATGAAGCCAATTAGGATTGTTAAAAAAAAAAAAAATCAGGGCTGCAGTTGTGGCTCAGCGGCAAAGCACTCGCCTGGCACGTGCGGGGCTCTAGGTTTGAATAAAAGTATTGTGTGGGGAAGGCTCCCGCCTGGCCAGCTCCTCCAGCACCCAGAGCATGGCACCCTCCTGGTCCTTACCTTGGGGGTGTCACCTCCCTGCCAGGCCTCAGGAATATTCAAACCAACCTTCCTGAGGGAACTATGGGCACCCAACCTCTTTGTCCTTACAAAGCCCACACTTCCCACAAGCCCTGCTGGTTCCCTCTGCTCCCCAGTGGATCCCGACCGGGAACTGCAGTGTCCTTCACTGGCCTGAGTGTATGTGACTAATGAACTATGTCCAGGGTCAGTGTTGGGTATCCGGCTGTCTGCTACTATTGAGGGCTGGTTTCCCTCCCTCCAGAACAGGTAGGTAGAGGCGATCAGAACACTCTCACGGTGTGCTTCCTTGATGCAATGGGTCAATAAATGTAAATTTGTCCAACCACGGGTGGGCTCCTGGTGGTTGTGGCTGAAGGTAACTGAGATGTGATGAAATCAAGGATCTGGAGACTGGAAGGATGCTGGAATAGCCAGCTGGGCCCAATGTCACCATAGTGTGTAAAACAGAAAGGAAATGTGAGGGCTCCAGCCCTCCCAACAAGGACCCTGCCACCCCATATCCTCTCAGTAGATTTCTTGTCAGCAGAATTAGCTTTAAAAAAAAAATATATATATATATATATATATATATATATATATATGAACCTTTATTTTTTAAAATTTATTTATTTATGATACTGAGGATTGAACCCAGTGCCTCACACATGCTAGGCAAGAGCTCTAACACTGAGCCATAACCCAAGCCCCAGAGTTGGCTTTTGCTGCATCTGACTACAAATTCCAGCTAGTCCGGTAGGGTGGGAACACACCCCTGCTCAGCCTGAGCCACAGTGGGCCTGCCTGGAGTCGTCAAGAAGAACCTGCAGGTGCTCTCCTGACATTCTGGAGTAGCCATGAGGACTAGTTCACAGCCCTGGAGGGTTCAAGTCTTCCCATTCATTTTCGCACATTGTCCTACTTCAGTTCAGAGATTCTTGAATGTGCAGATCAATGTGGTGCTCAAAAGAAAAAAACTATGTGTGTGTGTGTGTGTGTGTGTGTGTGTGTGTATTTAGTTGTAGGTGGACACATACCTTTATTTTTATTATTTATTTATTTTGGTGCCGGGATCAAACATGGTGCCTCATGCATGCTCAGCAAGTGCTCTACCACTGAGCCACAACCCCAGCCCCATTGTGGTTATTTTCTTAAAAATAATTTTGGGAAGCTTGCTTTCTTTCTCTTTCTTCCTTCCTTCCTTTCTTTCTTCCTTCCTTCCTTCCTTCCTAGGGATTGCATTCAGGGGCACTTGACCACTGAGCCACATCCCCAACCCTATTTTGTATTTTTATTTAGAGACAGGGTCTCACTGAATTGCTTAGCACCTCATTTTTGCCGCAGCTAGCTTTGAACTCATGTTTTCCCCATCTCAGCCTCCTGGGCTGCTGGGATTCCAGGCATGCGCCACTGTGTGCAGCAGGATCCATTAATTTAAATTCATTCTATTTTCCCTCTCTTCTTTGGGTTGCAAAATCCCTATCAATCTAACTTCATGCTTCCCAATTCTTTCTTCTACTACTCCACCCTTGTGTTATAGATGAGGAAATTTAAAAATTTAAGTGATTTACTGAGGTTCATATGGTGAAGAAGTGGCAGGGCTAGGACTTGGACTCAAAGTCTCAGCTGTCACCCTGTCAATCATTCTCTCAATAATCATTCATTGCATAAACATGTACTGAGAGTTGACCAGCGCCAGAAACTTTTCTAAGGGCTAGGGAAAATCAGAATTCCTGCTCTCACCAAGGAGAACTACAACAAATAGGTGAAAATGTAAATAAAGACCCACGG